TCTAGCTAGCACCACTTCAAAATGTTGGATCGTATAACCTTCTTGTCAAGGAAGTTTGTTAGACATATAATTAGTAGAATAATAATAACTAATAATGTTAGTTAAGTAGGGTTAGCCGGCCAACATAGGCTGAGTAGGTTAGGATATGTTTATTAGGATTTTGGATTTATTTCCTATAAATATGTACTTTGGCTTTACGTCATAGTCAATCAAGAAGAATCTCCTAAACCCTAGTTTATCCTCTCAACTCCTAATTTCTATTCTCTCCTAATCCAAGGCCTCGACCGATTCCCAATTCTATCATGTTCTTTCTCATCTAAATCCCTAATCTCAACCCCAAATCCCTATTTGTTACGAGTAGTTACGGGTGCCGAAGATCAGTATCGATAATCCCTAACAAGAGGGTCCTTTCAGTGGTATCAGAGCTCGGTTGTAGGCACTCGTACCGGAGCTAGGTCGAGATTCGAAGGGATATCTATCGAAGAACTCACCAAAGCTCTTAAGATGAAGTTGGAATCTATCGGAAACACTCACCGACCGAGGATGGAGAGGAGTCCAATCCCAATCGAACCGAGGATAGCTGAAATGGATTTCGAAGATTGGTTGGAACAACCTGCGTTCCCAAGCGAAATCAAGCGAGGTGGAACCACTGCCACTATGAAGGCCCAGAAAGCAGCTATTGCAATGGCTGACTCCCCTGCGACATCATCATCATTCGCCGTTCCTTCACCAGTTGAGAAGAGGATGGAGATCGACAAACCCCTGGTGGCGGAGCCGCCGGCACAAACGAACTGCCATCAAACATCAACGTCTCCGACCTGCGTATCACCAGAGCCCCGCTACCCAGTGCCGCAAAATCGGCAGCCGTGAAGCCAACAACGGGACATGGCTAGCCCGACAAGGCGCAGTCATCAATTGGCGTCGCCACAGTCGAGAGTCCGCTTGCGGCAGCACCGGTAGACACCATTATCGCTGCCGGATACACAACGCGTCCGCGGAATCCTCCAAGCGACAGGTGGAAGTTCCGGAAGAAGAAGAATAGCACGAGAAGAGTCCCTGCTTCTCTGCCGGCGGAAGGAGATGCCGCGGAGTGGGAGACCGAGAACTTGAAGGCCATGAAGAGAGATGCCAATTCGCTCGCCGTAATCGCCGAAATCCAGATAAACGAGAACCAGAAGGGCAGAGCATCTAAGGAGGGCAGGCGATTGACGAAAGCTTCCGTGGCATGGTGGATCACTGAGGAGGCGACGTTGAAGACGACGCGGGGAACGGGCGAGACCTCTCGCTAGAAGTGTTCACCACCGTCCGAGGAGGAGCTCCGTGACGGCGTCAACCGACGAGGAAGAGCGTCAGCGGCTTCCAACGCGAGATGGGCGAAAGCCCAGTAGTCGTCGAGGCGATGGCGGACGATGAGGAGAATCTGAAGGCGAGGCCGGCAGCAAGCTTGCCTCCTCGCCCGTGATGGATCTCTTGACGAAGAAGAAAACGCCGCCAAGAAAGCAGACATCGGAGGCGGATGAGTCGGAGATGCTACGGCGGGGCAGGTCTTGCCGCCGATGAGTGGCGCCTGTGCCGCTGGATAAGGATTTGACGGCGGCTCTCCTCGTGTCGACGATCAACAGGGAGAGGAGTCGGAGGACGGAGCCAGAAGCACGGCAGCAGCCTCGTCGCCTGGTTGCTTGCGCATCATCGGCGAAGGTGGCGAGGGGATTGCCGAGGGAGATGGAGCTCTTGGGCGGTGGGTTTCCGTCCCCAACAACCCTTGGTCACGCAACCAAGAGGCCAGAACCATTAGGCCGAGTTGTGGTTCAGGCCGCTGGGCTCGAGTTGATCGGAATGGATCAGCAATCGGAGCGGGCCGAAATAAGCCCACTGGTTAAGCCTTTCCGGTTTGGTTGTGGGCCGACATATGAAGAAGTTAAGTGCAACTTGGGCTTTGTCTTAAAGATAGCAGATTTGGAGGAAGTTGTTGTGTCGGTGGTTGGGCTTCCAAGTGAGTTAGGCCCATGCGAAATTGAGAAGAAGGAACAGCCAAGGAAGTAGGACATGGGGTTGGGCCATGCATCATACTTTCAAGTCAATGTGGGCCGACCCAAAGGAGAAGCAAAAGAAGAGCTTGTGGAAGAAATTATGGAGCCTATTTTTGAAGACCAACAGTTAGAGAATAAGGAAGAACAATTCTCCGATTCTTATATTGTGGATTTCGAAAAGGGAGAGAAAGAATTGTCTAGCTCTGGACTAGGATGTAGGTGCCATGTGGCGGAGGAAGAATCATCAAAATTTGAAGTTGGTGGAGAAAGATTAGTTTGTGGAATTGAGCGCAATTGGAAGCGAAGAAAGCGGAAGATCAAGAAGACGGAGGTTGACTGCAACCTTGAGGACAAGGTCGCTTTCAAGGAGGGTGGAATGTTAGACATATAATTAGTATAATTATAATAATTAATAATGTTAGTTAAGTAGGGTTAAGCGGCCAACTTAGGCCGAGTAGGTTAGGATTAGTTTATTAGGGTTTTGGGTTTATTTTCTATCAATATGTACTTTGGGTTTACATAATCAATCAAGAAGAATCTCCTAAACCCTAGTTTATCCTCTCAACTCCTAATTTCTATTCTCTCCTAATCCAAGGCCTCGGCCGATTCCCAATTCTATTATGTTCTTTCTCATCTAAATCCCTAATCTCAACCCTAAATCCCTATTTGTTACGAGTAGTTAAGGGTGCCAAAGATCAGTATCAAGAATTCCTAACAAGAGGGTTCTATCAAAGTTGTTTCTAGATGCAGCATGTTGAGTTGTTGTTTTTTTTTTTATGTTACTAGACTATGTGTGCACCAATTGTTTCTGACTAATATAAATTAGGAGTAGGTATGATGTCGATAAACACAATGCAAGTAGAGTATACATATTAGAGGGTCGTACATAATTAGTGTCTAATTCTCAATGCCTAAATAACACTCCACGTTCATTTGAAGATCTCTATAATGTCAAGCTAAAAGAGAAACAAAAGCATTGATATTTCATATTATCGATATTGCCAACAAATGATATACTATTGATTGTTACTCTTGCCGGTTAAATTAAGCGTAGGAATATACTTAATTCCGGATAGAATGTCTTACTCTTAAGTCTTACCCTACCCTTGACAAACGGAGTTTCATTCCAAAAGAAAAAAGGCGATTCTTATTGACCTGAACTCTCTCACTCTCACTAGCTTTGACTAAGCTGGAGGGGGAAAAACAAACCGAACAAGACATGAGAATGTTATCAAACCGACTTCCCCTTGGCCCACACACACATAAATCATAATATGTAATTAATTGGACCAAATGACTGTATTTAAATTCGGTGAGTTGGGCCCCCCTACCGGATGAGCCATCATACAGAGCCCAAAAGTCACGGGAGTGGGCCCAACTCGAAACATCCAGGAGCTTTCCTAACCGTCTTCCTTCCTTATCAGCTTCCTCTTCCGTCTCCAAAGCGTGCGTGGTCAGTGATCTAATTAAGTGGGGATCTAAAGAAGCAGATCTCCTTTTTCCTGCACTGCATCTGCATGCATGTTTTGTCCACACAAAAAAACAGAGAAGCAGCGCAGCTTCAATCTACACAGTTGTACTTTTTTGTCGTGACCAGTACGTACGTACGTTTTCAACCCACCGGCAAGCTTAGCTGGAATTTCGATTAGGCTTTTTTATTTAATCGGTTTGATATCTGCAATTGATGGACCTGTAGTACCCGCACTGGATTAAACTGAAATATAGGATCTTGTTCATGGAAAGTGAGACCAGCCTATTGGAACCTCAAATTCCTACACAAGTTCAATCTCGAAATCGAGACAAGCCATAGATTTTTTGTTAACCGCATATAAATATACCTTATTTTAAGTTCAACCTCTTCTGAATACACATACCGTAGATAAATTAGATCCGGTTGCGTCAAAACGAACATAATTTGACACACTTACTAACATTAACATGTACGCAAAAATAGTATTATTTTTTTATGAACGATAAAACTTTTATTAGAACACCAACGAATCCAATAAACAAGCCACAAACAATGAACAAAACAACAAAGGACCTGTAGTCAATTTATTTTCAAGTCATATAATTCAAGTTTCAATTCTATTCGAATGTCTCCAAAGGGACATGTAATAGAATTCAAATTCACACCTCTCGAAATTGGACAATTAATTATGAACTCCAAATATTATTGCTAATGCCGTGAAAACATAGCATATATTAATTTCGAGATCTTCAAACAACAATCGATAAGAAACGACTTATCAGTTATCAATTCGATGCAGATCGATCAAATTAAGACAAGACATCATTTGACACACATGGATTGGCAATTTGGCGTGCACCTTCCTCTTGCCCTCCCTTGGCGTGCATGAACATGACCTATACAATTATCATCAACCTGAAAGAAAGTCACCCACACAGAACCAACCCAGCCCAACAGCTCTATCTTTAACCACTTCAATAATCAAAACCCCTCACACTTGTTGTCGTCGTTACTCATTAATTAAGACTCGTTACCGCATTTCGAACCTTCCTTGGGACAAAGCCTTTTTCCATGTATCCGTACACTAGCTAATTTATGTATTATTATTGTATAAACCATTTCCCCAATTTGTCGTTTCCTCGGCACCCCCACGATTGACTTCCACACCGGATAAAGCTGCTTCCCGTTATAAAATCAACCCACTAGCTACCCTAGCCGGTGACAGAATTGACTACCTTCCACTTCCAGCTTCTCAACGCACACTACCTGTTCGATCAAATTCCCCCGACGAGAAAAAAGTCGCCGAAAACCTTTCGTCTTCTCTTCGCACACCATCTGTTCGACGATATTCCCCTGAGACTACGCTGTAAAGGGTCTCCTCCCTTCCGCTTCTTATACCATCAAAACTTCTGCTTTCCTTAACGCACACCAAGTGTTCGATAAAATTCCTCTGAGAAAAAAAAGAAGATAAAGATTAACGAAAAAGAGGTTACCAACAAATGGCGCTCCCTAACTTCACAGCTCTCCGAGACCTGCACAACTCGGCGAACGACCTCCTCGACTCCCGGGAGCTCGGCGGCGGAAAGACCCACGAGTCCAAATGGCTGTACCAAGCCTCGGAAGCCTCCCTCCGCATGCTCGACGTGTGCGGAGTCTCGAAAGACGTTCTCTCCCTAGTGAAAGAGCACCTCCTCGACCTCCAATTCACTCTACGCGGCCGGGGTTCGCCACGAAACGACGCCGAATCCAAAATCCTGGCCTACAACGACTGCAGGAAGAAGCTTAGTAGGGAGACGATGAAGTGCCTCAAGTCGCTGAAAGGGACGATGAAGGAGAACAAGCGTAATCAGCTGGCTGTGGATGAAGCCGACGGCGGCCGGGATCTGGCGGTGGTGGCGGAGGTGCTGAGGGAGGTGAGGGGGAGCTCTGTTTCCATCGTGGAGTCGCTGCTGAGCTTGATCTCGATCCCGTGGCTGGATGATGATCGGAGGGGTAAAACGGTGTCGTTTGTGGGGAGGATGATGATGCGGCGTCGTAAGGGGAGGGTGGGGGATTTCTGCGACGAGACGGCGCTTCAGACGGCGAACAAGAGGTTGGAGGCGGTGGAGATTGCGATTGAGGAGCTAGAGGGTGAGCTGGAGTGCATGTTCCGGCGGTTGATTCAGACCAGGGCTTCGCTTCTCAATATTCTTACTAATTAATTAGTTGCTTTGATTCATTTTCCTCGGTTCGAGTAGGATCGTTAGTGTTCTTGTAATTAACTTCGAGCTGCTGGTCACAAAGACAATCAGACCTTTTATTGTTAGGGGGATGATGATTCTACCTGTGACCAAGCTAAATGTTACCGTTAGGGGGACACTAGTTAAGAAACATTGAGATCTCAGACTTTCCATCCTATTTATTTATTCTTTACGTGAGTTTGTTTACTCTCAGTAGCAAATAAATTGAAATCGATTTTATATTTTCATAAAGTTTGAACTATATAACAACTCGGATGAGGTAAACGGGAAGGTAGGGATGTGTCATGTGTGTATCGCAACGGGTCGGTTTGGTAGCGGATAGTGCATTTCGATTATTTTATCTAAGATAGTTTGGGTTTTGTCTATACCCATATTCACATGAGAATTGGTTAGAAAATCAAAACTATGATCATACCCGTTCGGATTTCGGGTATTCACAGTTATCCATTCACACATATACTCACATTACGTAAGAGGAAAAGTACGACAATAATTCACTGCAATGAAGAAAATTAATTAGAACAACACAGAAATATTATATTTATATGCTAAATATAAAATATGTTAGAGAAAATAATGGTTATTTCTAGAACAAAATAGACATGCGTGTTCATAATCGGGCGAGTTCGGGTTGAATAGTGAGAAAACCATGCACACCCATCATCCACAATATTCGGTTTCAGATTTTACATCTACCCACTAAAAGTCATTCGGGTTCGGGTGTTACCCTATCCAATTAGGCCGGATTCGGGCAGATATCCACGGTTATTAATATTTTTGAAAAATTTGCCGAGACACGTTGGCCATTTAAAAAATTTAACATGAGCGCACTAAGGCCTTGCCTCCATTCCTTTTCTCTGCTCATATTTAATACCATATGGTAAGAAGGTTGAATACATGATAATAGGAGTATATTAACTGTCATTTACGACTTTCATCATTGTTTACCACAAGTTACCACCCACATATCATAGTGGTAAAGTATGGTAATTTTTGGTCCAGTATTTTTTTCACCCAGAAATTTGTAGATTCAATAGATCATGATGAACTCGTTCCTTCTGAGCAAACGTTTTCAGAAACGACTTAAAAACGAATACCATATGGTATGTAGTTGGTAAAAAAAAGTTTCTCGAAATATATTGAAAATTGATATCATTTTGTAGAGCACAACGAACTCGTTCCATGTGTGCAAAAAAAATTGAAATCCGAGTTAAAACGAAGAAGATAAGAACCGATTATAAAAACTAGGGAAAATAAAATGTCTTTAATTGACAACCCTTAGATCTGAATTTTCTAGACCCACTTAAATCTAAAGGTCCAGATTTAGTTACTCATAGGTCAGTAACCAATGGTTACTGGCCCTATCCTAAGCCTTAATTCCCATCTTTGCTTCCATCCCGTTGACACAAGGAAAACCTCATTATATCCTCCTTTTTTTATTTTCATTTGCTCGCGTGACCCGTCTAACTGCTAGCTAAGATTAATATTCATTTATTTATATTTACTTCACAAGTTAATGAAAGCACACCAGAAACATCATAATGCATTATCATAAGTCCCACAAAAGATACCTAAAGTCTTATAAAGCATACCACAAGTTTATTCAAGTATACCACAAGTCCCACAAAACAGACCACAAATATATTCAAGCATACCACAAGTTCCACAAAACAGTCATTCAAACACCACAAATCTTATAACCCATACAGGCCCACACAACTAATCGGCTCGAATTATTGTCTCTCTCTTTTGTCCAGGCTCTATAATTCCCATGGTTACTAATGAAATATACATGTATATATTTATTGTTGGGGACTATTTTGTATATATGTGAAACTGTGGTGGCTGATTTATAATTGTGCACACGTCTTGTGGTTAGGATGTGGTGCATGGATGGCTATATAACCTAGGTTTAGGGTTTATAGCAGAAGATGAATAAGAAACTTAGCAACAACAAGCTAACCACCGTGGAGTAAAGTCTCTAAGAGGCCGAACCACGTTAAATCTCGTGTCTTTGTTCGTGATCGTGCTTTCGTTGCATCTATGGACTGAAGAGGACATGTTATCTGCTGCTCCAAACAAAGGTGAGACCACTCTGGCCATGGTGGCTGAACACCATCGTCTCCGTCTTATGCATTTTCTCATGAAGCCGCGTTCTGACTTTGACCAATTCGAGCTTCTCTATCGCAATGTTATGGGTATGGATGATGTATTGGCGAGCTATTGCGCGAAGAAATTCATCTTCGTAGTCAAGCTCATCTAGATCGATCCTCGTCTACTCCTGAAAATGTCTTTGTTGTCAACCATTCCGGTAAGCCACAGTTTCATAAGTCTGTCCCACCCCATGTTGAGTGTCACTATTACAGGGAAAATGGGCATGTTCAGATTCATTATAAACGTTGGAACTATTGGAATTACTGTAAAACCTCCTGGCATATTGTTCTTGACTGCCCTTCGCTTGCGCGTCGTGGAAAATCGGGTGGCAGTCGCCTGCCTGCTGCTGCTAGGGATGGCAATAGGTAGGGTCGGGTGCGGGTTTACCCTATACCAACTCCTAACCAGCCGGGTAGAGCCTCCTAAAATACCCGACTATATATCCACTAGGTATGAAAATGATGTAACCATACCCTACCCACCGGGTAACCACGGGTATTTGAGTAACTGACTCACTCCTACTGTCACTCTAGAAATTGGCCAAGTGTAACCACTTCCTAAAGCGTAGTATAGCGGGTTTGGGTTTCAATGTCAACCCGGGTCCTAGATTTGATGACTACTCGGTGAATTCTTGTTATCTAGCAGTGAAACTTTAGTGCAAGTCCAAATTAACAAACAAACAAAGCAAGTTAAACGGTTGTTTTCAAGTCGAGAGAGGTCACCCGGGTATGGTTCCCCCTAGACTGCAGTTAAGCCGGATTGCAATTTACCAAGTTCAGTTTTCATGAAAGTTATACTGCGGAAGGTTCTTAAACAGTCTGAAGTCTCGACTAAAGGTCTCCAGATCCTCTCAATCTGAGTCTCCAGCGGGCGACTAACCTCCACCGGAGTAAACAGATTGAGGCCCTAACGAACCAAACCTCCACTACCGAATTGAATTCGGTACTGATATACCGATAATTATACATATTTTCACCCCTATTCTGAAGCCGTTTGTGATGAGGAATCTCGTGTTTTAAGCCGATTTCACGCTAGGTTGTGTGTTTATGTCATATTTCAGGACCCGACGGTGGAATCGAGGCGGAGAAACGAGTTCTGGGTCGAAAGGAGCGAAGTTGGGACAAAGGAGGCTGTTGGACCAAAATACCCGGCCAAAAGCAGGAATACCCGACCGGGTATTTTCTGGCCTTGGTCGGGTATTTTTCCCTTCGGGCGCCCGTGAGAAGCAGAAGGGGGCCCGGGCGATGGCCTTAAATCCCCGGTCGGGGATTATGAGGATAGACCGGGGATTTTTCCCCTTAGTGAAACGGCGAGTTTTGGGAAATACCCGGTCGGACCCCGAAATACCCGACCGGGTATTTAGACCGGGTATCGCGATGGCAGCTGATAAAAGAGAAAGAAGGCCAATTTTCAAAGGGTTCCGAGTTTTTGAGAGAGAAAGCGATACCTAGAGAGAGAAAGCGACGAACCAGAGTTCCCAAGCGCCATAGATCGATCTTCAACACCATTGGAGCCCGGTTTGAGCTTGGAGAAGTGCGATTAAACGTCCAGGAGCAGGAATCCATCTTCACAGTATGATTTCCGCGTCTGAATCTGCTTTTGCTTCTTTCTCTATGGAGTAGTTTCCCCATTCATCTGGGTATGGGGAACCCTAGATTTGTATGCTAGGTCTGATTGTATGAACCCAAGTACAGAGTTTGTGAATTGATTATATTCGATTGAGGTTTGAATGATTGAATGACTTGAATCATGATCAAATTCCTGTTGTTTCTACTTTGACCTAGAATGAGAATATCTGCCTAGGTTGATAGAGTACCCTTAATCGAAGGTGGCGAATTGGTGACTTTAGTCGAGGAGCTAATTCGCTATCCTGTACCGAATTCAATTCGGTAGTGGAGGTTTGGTTCGTTAGGGCCTCAATCTGTTTACTCCGGTGGAGGTTAGTCGCCCGCTAGAGACTCAGATTGAGAGGGTCTGGAGACCTTTAGTCGAGACTTCAGGCTAATTGAGAACCTTCCGCAGTATAACTTTCATGAAAACTGAACTTGGTAAATTGCAATCCGACTTAACTGCAGTCTAGGGGGAACCATATCCGGGTGACCTCTCTTGACTTGACAACGACCGTTTACTTGCTTTGTGTTTTGTTTACTTGAGTTGCACTAAAAGTTCACCGCTAAATAACAAGAATTCACCGAGTAGTCATCACATCTAGGACCCGGGTTGACAATAAAACCCAAACCCGCTATACTACGCTTTAGGAAGTGGTTGCACTTGGCCATTTTCTAGAGTGACAGTAGGAGTGAGTCAAGTTTTTGGCGCCGTTGCCGGGGAACGGCTAGGCTGTTGAAGAAAAGTGATTTCTGTTACTTTAGCATTTTCATTTTTGCATTGAGTGTTTGTTCCTTCCCACTTGTGCCTTCACGGGTTTGCATTGCTTGATTGTGTGCAGATAGTGCATGACCCGTAGCCAGTCGGGAAGTTTACTGCCGTTGAATCCTGAGATTGAGCGCACCTGCAAACAACTTCGGAGACAACAGCGAGCTAGACTGGCTACGGTGGAGCGCCGAGACGGCCAATTGAGCAGCGACTCCGAGGACGAGTACGAGATGGAAGGCGATCAGAACCCGCCTCCTCAGAACCAGATCCTGGGGAATGACCCAAATCCCCAGGGAGCTGGAAACCATCATCATCCACCACCACCGGGTCCCACCTTGGAGTACTACTATACTCCACGGATTGCTGACATCCGCCCGGTCATCCTCTATTCGCCCATTCCTGCAAACAACTTCGAGATCAAGCCGTGCTGG